AAGTATCAATACTCCAAAAAGTATAGATACTAAAATGTTGTACCCGGTACTCATTATCAAAAGTATCGATACTATCCCCCCCACGCCCCTTCTCTCCGATTTTTTTATTTACATTGTTTATGATCATTAACGTGACGTTAGCCTTCAATTGCTAGCCGCGGCTAACGGCTAATCACAACACGCCAAAATCGATACACGATAACATCAGTAACAGGTCAGTTTGAAACCAAAGACACTAACCTGTGGAAACTCAGTTACCCCTCCCTGCAGCTGCTCCTACCTGGTGTGTTTTGTGCAAAGCGCGCTTCCTGGATGACGGCCAGCTTGGGCTGGACCGTGGGGGGGGGGGGGGGGCGGAGGCCTCCAGCTCCAGGGGCACCGGGGAGCCTTCCCTGGACAGACTGTCCGGGGTCTGGATCCCGCTGGAGTGGGCCGAGAGCACGCCCGAGTGGTTGGGGGAGGCGGGGGCGCTCCTGGGGGGGTCAGAGGGGGGAGAAAAGGCATCAGAATATGATCTCAAACAGCCAAAATATTTCTTTAGAAGTGCATTTAAAACACTTCTAAAAAAATATTTTGTTGAAAGCATTAACTCATGAATATTTGGGTAACAGATTGTAATGTAAGGTGAAATCATTTGAAATGTATAATTGTTCTTATGATGTGATCATTTGATATGTTTTGTGAATGTATATAGTTTTAAAAGGACCCCAGGAAGAGTAGCTGTCAAATTACTGAAAGCTAATGGGGATCCAAATAAATAAACAATAAACAATAAACATCGAAATGTCTCCTCCATTTTTCCCCACAAAAGGTCCCGATCCCGGCCTATCAGAGCATGTGTTAAAGTTTAAAGTTATTTATCTACTTACTTAGTTGTCAGACTCATGTTGAACAGGGATTTACTCTGATAACAACTTAATGGTTAGGACACAGACCTGTGGGTTAGAAGATGCTAATGCTAATGCTAGTGTGGGATCAGACTTTAAAAATAAACTGGATCTGGAGTCTGCATCTGTGTTTTCTCCTGATATCAGATCGGGAAAACCTAATGTGTGGTGTTTACATCTTTTTTTGTCCCACTAAGAACACCACAGGATGTTTTAATTGTTTTTATGTTCAAAAAGACATAAAAAAGATTAGTAAGAAATACATTTAAATTTCTAAAAAGGACCATAGCATAACCTCTACTCTGGTTTATTCTCAGGTTTCCAGCTAAAGAATTGGGCTAAAAATGCTGGGAAAAAATTATACGAAAAGAGGAAACTCATACTTTCCCAAACAAGCGGCATTGACCGGAGGGGGGGGGGGGGGGTCCTCTCACCTGGAGGACAGGGGTCCGTGCGGGGTCCTGAAACAGGGCACCCCCCGGGGCCTTCGTTTCCTGAAGGCCTGCTCGATCAGCTTCCCCTCGGAGGACGGGTCTATCCTCCAGAACGAGCCCTTCCCCGGCTCCTCCTGCGACCGCGCCACCTTGATGAAGTAGCGGTTCAGGGACAGGTTGTGGCGGATCGAGTTCTGTGTAAACATGGGGAGGGAGAGAGAGAGAGAGAGAGAGAGAGAGAAAGAGAAAATCAGGGCTTTTAGGCCAGCCGAGGTTCAGTAACGAAGTAGAACTACTTAAGTACCAAAATGCAGTATCTGTACTTTGTTGGAG